AAAAAATATCAGATACTTTAAGACTTTTACTCAAGTAATATTCCTAAAGGAGACTTTAACTTTTACCAAAGTAATTTTTTTGGTAAGATACTTTTACTTTTACTCAAGTATCACTTTGTTGTACTTTATACAACATTGGGGCTTGGGTACTGGTTACAGGTTACAGGTCAAACACAAAAACCAATGTCCTTTGGATAGATGGGAATAAAGTGAAGATATTAACCCATGATGCACGGCACTATAACATACTGTATCAGCTTAAACACCTGACACAAAGCATCAGCACAGTGGTGGAGGGCTGATGGTTTGGGTTCTCTGCAGGCATCGAGTCAACCACGAACACCTCTGTAGACCAAAGGGCTCTAGATTTAAATGAACCATCCCTCTGACCAGAGGACCTGGACCAAACTGGGTTCTGATGCAACAGACCAATAAAGTTGTACAGAAAACGATTTATTTGGACCTATAGTTGCTAAAGTTAGTTTCATAAGTCATTGATGTTYTTTGTTTTTCCACACGTTGCTTCAGGGTTTGTCTTGGCTTTTGCTAGAATAATATTGACACAGCGTCGAATGTCAAGTGCCTATCAGTTCACCTTGCATTTATATGATCTAGTTAAAAATAACAGTTTATACCAGTTCTACTAACATATATTTTGAATTAGATCACATAAGTACTTAAACAGAAAACAATAATTATGTTTAAAATAGCTGGTAAAATTCATCRCCAGACCTGTTCCAGCTTGCTCGTTTTTTTCTCTCTTTAAAACTTTCCCATGAACTTCACAGTGCTGCAGCGGGTGCTTCTCAGCAGCCTCACCTGACCATAAAAAGCCACTCTGAAGTACGTGCCGAGCAGCCTGCGACCAGACTGGATCACCTCCATGATTTTGTTGTAGGCCCTGTGCAGGGTGTCGTAGAGCCGGCTCAGTTTCTGCAGAAAATAAACACAAAGCAGACACCATGAAAGCGGGTTCAGCATGGGCTTTACGTGTTTGTGTGGGTGTTTGGGTGTTGCTAAGCAGTCCGTGGATGGTGAGTTATGAATCGTCGCAGTTATGCTTTAAATATTTCAGCAGCACACACTGGTCACCGCTGTCGTCTGCAAAGATCTGCGTGTCGAGACGAACACGAAAGCACGCTAACAAACCATCCAGAGCCCCCGGAGTTACAGACCAGGAGGGATGTTTCAGGTTCTACCTCAGCAACTTCCAGTACTTATTCTTTTAGATTTATCACTTGACAAACGTGGCCAAATGTTTTTGTTCGTCCATCTGCTACCTGGTTAAATTGTCAAATCAAATTTTTTGTTTATGCTGTTTTTATTTTAAATATGTGAACAAATGATGTAGACACAGAAAACCTCAAGATAGTTTGACCCTCATGGTACAAACTTCTCTGCTGACCAGAGGTTTTGACATGTTCTTCAAGCTGCAGTCTGAATAATGATCTCCTGTGGGTGTGGTTATCTGATTAAAGAGCTGGAAACGGATAGACAAATCCTCAGGGCACCAGGTGTGAATGTTGGGCCATTATGTTATTTTCCTCTGTCCCACTAATCATGTTAGCTCAGGAACTAACAACAGAGATACAGTCATATGAAAAAGTTTGGGCAACCTTGTTAATTTTCCTGATTTACCTTTATAAATCATTGATTGTTTGGATTAAAAATATCAGTAAAAAATATCATATAGGGGACAAACACAGTGATATTTGAGAAGTGAAATGAAGTTTAAATGATTTACAGAAAGTGTGCAATAATTGGTTAAACAAAATTAGGCAGGTGCATAAATTTGAGCACCAAAAAAAAACCCTTCACTCAATATTTAGTAGCTCCTCCTTTCACAGAAATAACATTCTCTAAACACTTCCTATGGTTTCTAATGAGAGTCTGGATTGTGGCTGAAGGTATTTTAGACCATTCTTATTTACAAAACATCTCTAGTTCATTCAGGTTTGATGGTTTCCAACCACAGACAGCTCTCTTTAAGTGACACCACAGATTTTCAATAATATTCAGGTCTGGGGACTGAGATGGCCATTCCATAATGTTGTACTTGTTCCTCTGCATGAATGTCTTAGTAGATTTTGAGMAGTGTTTAGGGTGGTTGGCTTGTTGGAAGATCGGTGCAGCTTCAGCTTTGTCACTGATTCCTGGACATTGGTCTCGAGAATCTGCTGATATTGATTGGAATCCATGCGTCCCTCAACTTTAACAAGATTCCCAGTCCCTGTACTGGCCACACAGCCCCACAGCATGATGGAACCACCACCACATTTTACTGTAGGTAGCAGGTGTTTTTCTGGGAGTGCTGTATTCTTTTTCCTCCATGCATAACAGCCCTTGTTCTGCCAAAAATAACTCTATTTTAGTTTCATCAGTCCACAGCACCTTATTCCAAAATGGAGCTGGCTTGTCCAGATGTGCTTTAGCATACCTCAAGCAGCTCTGTTTGTGATGTGGACGGAGAAAAGGCTTCCTCTGCATCACTCTCACATACAGCATCTCTTTGTGTAAAGTGTGCTGAATAGTTGAATGATGCACAGTGACTCCATCAGCAGCAAGATGATGTTGTAGGTGTTTGGTGCTGGTCTGTGGGTTGACTCTGACTGTTCTCAACATCCTTCACTTCTGTTTATTGGAGATTTGTCTTGGTGTTTCTCACAGTGGAGACTGAAAGCTGAAATCTCTGAGATAGCTTTCTGTATCCTTCCCCTAAACCATGATGGGGAACAATCTTTGTTTTCAGCTCATTTGAAAGTTGTTTTGAGACTCCTATGCTGCCACTCTTCAGAGAAGATGCAAAGAGGAGAAAAACTTACAGTTGCCCCCCTTAAATACCCGTTCTCATAATTGGAGTCACCTGTGTATGGAGGTCAAGGGTCACTGAACTYACCAAACCAAATTTAAGTTCCAATAATTAGTTCTAAAGGTTTTGAAATCAATAAAATGACAACAGTGCCCAAATTTATGCACCTGCCTAATTTTGTTTAACCAATTATTGCACACTTTCTGTAAATCATATWAACTTCATTTCACTTCTCAAATATCACTGTTTGTCCCCTATATGATATATTTAACTGATTTTTAAAATCCAAACAATTAATGATTTATAAAGGTAAATCAGGAAAATTAACAAGGCTGCCCAAACTTTTTCATTTGACCGTATTACTAATAAATATGTGGTATTAGTTCACATAGAGCTAACACTATGTCGCCATTTGTTTAGGTATTAGCTCGGACGCTAACACAAAAGCTAACAGGCTAAGCTGAGGTTCTGTTGTCCTCCATGCATATTTTCCATTTTCAGTTACCCATCATGATGGATATGACAATATATTATTTAAAATTGATAAAAACTAAACAGCCTACAGTATTTTTACAGTCCTTGTTTTACAGTAAGTAAATAATGGCTGTGTCCAAATTCAAGCGCTGGGTCCTTGGAAGGACACGGTCTACATGGTCTAGGTGGGCCGGGTCCTGAGTCGAACGGAAATAAGGGGCTGTGAATTTGGACGGTCTAGCCTTCTTCTTAATTCCCGCCCTTACCCCCGGCGTATGTCCTGTTGCCTATCAACCGTGACAATGCTAAACAGAAGCCAAAATAGATCAAAATTAGCTAAATATCAATATATTAGCATTATTAATATCATAAAACATAATTATATTAAAGTGCCTGTGACATGCCTATCCTTTAAATGCAAGAAGTCAAAGAAAGCATATTTATACTTAATAAAACTGGTATAGTACATATGATTTTACCCATTTTGTCACATAACTGGCCTATTTTCGTTTTAAATTGGCTAAGCCAGAGTGAAACAGGAAGAGACATCAAAGGGGAATTCGTTAATAAAATAAACTTGCTGGTCTCTGTTTATGAAAACAAAATTGTTTGAACTTTAACTTTTCTTCATCTCTCTTTGATAGTGACTAAAAATAATCTAAAGAAACATCAGATTCTTCTCTACAGTCTGTATTGTTAGCTGTTGTAACAACGCTCTGTTTACATGCAGACATTCCCCTTTGACATCACTTCCTGCTTCTTCACATGCAAACATCTCAACAACTGTTCATCTGAGTGATGTGAAATTTGTTTTGCAACATGTTATCAATGTTATCTTTCCAAAAATGCATTCATGTGTATTACAAAAATTTGATGTTACGGGACCAATATTTGAAGAACTAATGGACCCTCCGTAGGACCACGTTTATTTCACTATACCAGCTCATTTGATTTCTGACAAGAATAACATTTAAAACATGTCTTTACAAATGACAAAAGCATTAAAAACACAACCGTTTGAAAATTCAAATTTTTATACCGCCAGATGTTTTTTTATAAAAACTGTAGGCCTTTCTCTCACTGTCTACCATTACGAGCAGAAAATAATCTCTGATTAATGCATCATGGGTTGGAATGAGCAGAGAAGGATCCATTTGCCTCAAGTCAGGGAAAAAGGAGGACCTATTTGTGGACCGCATTGGAAGTGTCTTCGAATTTGGACAGCCTCCGGCGCAGCCTCTGAATTTGGACCCAGCCAATGTCTAATGGTATAAGTTGTCGTGGTTCCCTTTAAGTTATTTCAGTGACTTTTGTGATTTTTTTTCTTCCTTAAACAAAATGTTTGTAGCTGTACGTCTACAGTCTGCTGCTATAGTACCTCGTACTCATTCCGCTTCTCGTAGACAGGAATGAGGAGCTTGGCGATGTGTGTGATGAGCTCGTAGCGTTCRGCTTTCCACAGAGCTTCAACACAGACTTCGAGGTGCTCCACCAGAACCTCCTGAAACAGGACATCAAACAACTTCATCATACTATTCACTGCATACRCTCATTCTGAATGTCCCAAAGTGCTGAACTGATCAACAAACAAAGCAGATGTGTTGTGTTTGAGCTCATTTCAGAGTCCAGACCGAACAGCTGAGCCTAAAGGAAGTAGGCCACACCTCAGTATAGTAAACATCCTGCATTCCTGTGTCTTCTTTCATGGCTGCTTCCTCGTCAATGTTAAAGCTGATCTTCTTAAAGGCTGCGAGGCCACTGGGGAACAGCTCTGTCCAAAAACAAGCAGAGAAAATGTTTGAAAACCTTTCTGACGTTAGCGTCCAACCAAAGTGCTGTTTCTAACTCTGTAAAAAAATGTCTGGCATTAGCTGCTCCTCATGCCTGAGAGCTAAACTTACATCATGTTTTGTTGAGAAACAGAGTTGTTGCCATTTTAGTCAAGCTTTGAAAAACCATTACAAGCAATCTCATGTGATCTGTTAAGTGCCTACTTGTTACTTCTACTTCTAGCTACTACCACACCAAGTTTCAGCTSAGGTTTTGTTAAGTTTGTCAGAGTTGTAGCTATTTTTATGCTGGCTAATTTTGATCAGCCGTGGTGGCTATTTTTACCTCAAAGTTAGTTACGGTATCTGTAGCTTCAGGATTCAAGGAATCTTTATTAGGGATGCACAATATATTGGCCGATGTTGGTCATTTTTTAGAATATTGTATCGGTCCGATAAGTAAAACTGGGCCGATGTTAATGTCTGATATTGATTTTCCACTTGAGTTTCCGTTTTTGGAGTGGAGATGTTTGGTCGAGTGGTATCAGTTTGATCATAATAGTGTTAGTGACGCTGCTCTGTCAAGAATAACTGAAGCAGAGTCATGTCAGCAGTCTGGTTGTTTTCTTTTACGTTATTGAAGTGTATTTGTGCTTATATGTATACAAATCATTTGTGTGTTTGTGTAATATCTGTAAATATCGGTTATCGGCCATAACAGCAATAATAATATCGGAAATCAAAATTTTCAAATCGATGCATCCCTAGTCTTTGTTGTTATTATGCACTTGTGTAACAACGGTTTGTTGGTAGCTACTAGTAGTATGGAACACAAACTCATAACACAATCAATCATGTGAAATGATAATAAAATGTTGAGGAAAGAAATTCATGTTAGAAACAACGGAATTGAAAAACGGAAGGTATTGGAAAACTGATCTATTTCCAAAAAAACTAATAAAAATTAACATCCAACGATTATAAGTTTTTGAATGCTTCATTAAAATTCACTCTTAGTGCGATATTTTGGTAACATACAAACAAACACACCAGAAAAAATATTTTCCACCTTTTGGCAGCAGGCTATAACAAAAGAAAATCTAATGTTTCTGCGTACTTAGATGATTTAGAGGAATTTTCTTTAAAAGCAAGACATGCAACCATTGATTTATTTTACTGGATTGGACATCGCCTATAGCCTCTATAGCTAGCGACGTGCCGTCACAGGAGCCATTGCTATGCATTGAGTCATGTCAACAAAACAGTAGAGTTTCAATGCGGGATGCAAGTCAATCTGTCACAACAATATTCATGGCACCCTCATTTCTTATCCGATTTCTATAAAATAGGGCTTAAATTAAAGCTGAGAAAATTGCCTATGTTGTGATATGTAAAAATATGTATTTGCTCAAGAGATAAATCTATAAGCAGTCTGGGAACTTTTTGTTATAGGTTTTTGCTAACATATTTACAGTAGAAGCCCCTTTCCATCACATAAAATCAAAGTTGCTGTTCCAACAAAATATTATATTTTTTATTAATATTGTTATGCTAGGATAACATTGTGAGAGATAAATATAATGGACAACAGTAAAATTACCTTTACTACTACTTGGCTGAACTGTGTAGATATTACTGGTACTGATGTTCTGTCCAGTCAGCATGGTATATCCTGTAGTTTGTGATTATATATCAGAGTAAAAAACTCTGTAACTTTTTTTTCCTCCACCGTATATTTCATAAGCTAAGCGGTGGAGGGGCCAACCGCATTTATTTTATCACCAGCTGGCATAATTTCAGTCACTTCAGCGCGAATGAAGAATCAGGAAACAAATGCAAAATTAGAATTATATATRACACACATGACACATAGAGTCATGTGTGTCACATACATACATACATGCATACATACAGTACATACATACATGACTCAATGCTTAGCAATGGCTTCTGTGCGGCGCATGATAAGTCACGTGATGTCCAATCCAGTAATATAGAACAGTGCATGCAACAGACAGAAATGTGTTTATTTTGTTGAGACTGCTGTAAACAACACAGTGAAGGCAGATGTGGTGCTAAGACAGATGCGTTTCTTCAGAGATAAGAGCTGCTGCGCCCCGCGTAATGATCTTTGTCTGCCGGCTCTGCACACCACTCATTTGTTTAGAGGATCATTTGAAAGCAAGATTTGCATGAGATAAAAAGGAGTTACGGGACTTTGTTTTGGTTAGATGTCTCCTTTGCATGCTATATATAACAGCAGACAGTGATGCTTTTATCTGCGCAGGAGGACATTTTCCAGAAGGACCAATGGACAGACACCAGCATCTGAGTTGTCCATGATAAAAATTTGCTGCTGAAGGGGMCATATCATGCAAAAGCCCCTTTTTGTTTGCACTTCTGGTTTTTCCACTGGTGCAGATGATGGTACGATGGATAGTTTTGGGGAGCAGTTGGCCGAGGTAGTGAGGAAGTACAAAAATGATTATCAAGTGTCTTTTGAGAAATACATAGACACTGAAATGACTAATTTGTGGAAAGATGAAGTAAGAACATGGAGAGAAAAATCTATTTTTAATCGTGAAAATCTATTATCCATTATCTTCCGCTTTATCCAAAGTCGGGTCGTGGGGGCAGCAACTTGAGCAGAGATGCCCAGACCTCTTTCCTCAGCCACCTCTTCCAGCTCTTCTAGGACTCCAAGGTGTTCCCAGGCCAGCCAAGAGACATAGTCTCTCCAGCGTGTCCTGGGTCTTCCTTGGGGTCACCTCTCAGCTGGACATGCCTGAAKCACCTCCCTAGGGAGGCGTTCTTACCAGATGAACCACCTGAACCACCTGAACTGGCTTCTCTCGACGTGGAAGAGCAGCAGCTCTACTCTGAGTTCCTCCAGGAGAACAGAACTTCTCACCCTATTTCTAAAGGAGAGTCCAATTACCCTGTGGAGAAAACTCATTTTGACCGCTTGTATCTACGATCTCATTTTTTCCGTCACTACCCAAAGTTCATGACCATAGATGAGGGTAGGAATGTAGACCGACTGGTAAGAAGAGGGTTTTCCCTTACAGTTCAGCTCCCTCTTCACCACAACAGAGTCTACAAAACTGCAGAAGCTGCACTGATCTATCTACKTCTACCAATCTCACATTCCATTTTTCCCCTCACTCGTGAACAAGATCCCAAGATACTTGAAATCCTCCACTTGATGCAAAACCTCACCCCCCAACCCAGAGAGAACAATCCACCCTTTTCTGACTGAGGACCATGAACTCAGATTTAGAAGGTGCTGATCCTCATCCCAGCCGCTTCACACTCAGCTATGAACCGCACCAGTGAGAGCTGAAAATCCTGGTGCGATGACACCAACAGAAACACATCATCTGCAAACAGTAGGGATGAAATCCTGAGGCCACCAAACAGGACTCCCTCCACCCCCGGCTGCACCGAGAAATTCTGTCCATAAAAGTTGTGAACAAAATCGGTGACAACGGGCAGGGCTGAGTCCAACTCCCACTCTGAAGGGGTCCAACCTTACTAACAGGAATGCGAACCGAACTCTTGCACCACTTGTATACAGACTGAATGGCCCATAATGGACCCACAATCCCATACTCATGTAGCACCCCCCACAGTGTACCTCGAAGTCCACAAAGCACAYGTAGACTGGAAGGGCAACGTCTCATGACCCCTCGAGAACTGTAGTGAAGGTAAAGGATTGGTCCAGTGTTCCATGACCAGGACGGAACCCGCATTGTTCCTCCAGAATCTGAGGTTTGACCATTGATCAAACTCTCTCCAGTACCCCTGAAATGACCTTACCGGGGAGGTTAAGGACAGTGATGATAATAATAATAATTTAATTAAAATAAAAAAAAACAGGACATGTTCAGGTAAAAATAGTTGTGAGGTTTACAGGATTCAATCAGTCCTGCAGTGGGAGGGCCCTCCAAGGATTCCTCAGGAGATTTGCCCTCGAGAAACATGAAATGTCCTGACCAGAATCTATTTAGTGCTTGACAGCTCAAAAAACTGAACAGAATTTCTTGGTACTTGCAGCGTATGCAACGAGCCTAACAGAGCTTTGATTAATCCTGCACAGTTTGGTTTTGAGTTCCAGGAACCTGTTACAAACCGGTTTGTCAAAAGCCTTGTTTGTGTTTGAGTTTAAACTTACTTTTTCTGTGCAAATATTCTGCAACGAGTGCAGCCACATGAACGTAGCACATGGCAGCCTGTGGAGAAAGAAATTCAGTCAACATCTTTGTAACAAATAACAACCCTGCAGATGTAACACGAGAACTGATCTGACAGAGAGGCGAGTTTAAAAAGYTGTTTTTTATCTTCAACACTGAAATCTGATACCGTCTACACCAAACCATAACTACATACAACCAGAGTGTTGCTTTAACAGAAGACTTTGACAAAAAAATGTTTTCACTTTGTTTTACCAACAGAGACRTAACTCCATGCAGTAAAACCTGAAAGGTCTAAAGTGGAACATTTCTCATTTTGTTCCCACTTCAGAATTAATCACAATTTTTACAAAATGTACTTTTTTCTTTTATGTTTATTACTCACCTTTTATGAAAAAAGTAAAAACAGAATATAATTTGATCCTTTTAATTACACTTTGAGTTCATTATTTATCTTTGTTAAACAATGTTCTTCCTGGAAACATCAGGTGGAGGTCAGGTAGTTCATATTCCTTTAACACACACACA